GCCCTGGCAGTTTGTTGTACGGGAAGACTTAGAGCAGCACTAAAAGAAACCAGTAGTGGTCTCGAAGTAGATGTGCTTCTTGGTGGTTCGGTCGCGTCGTTAGACGGAGGTGTAGAGGGAGTTAAACCTGTTGAATCATGAGGAAATGCACAGCGATCACGGTTAGACAATTTCATTCCAGATCTAAGTAACATCCCGAGTAGCTTGTACCACGATCAAGTGAGGCAAATTGCATCGTAATCTCTATTGCCTCAGGCAATAGAGATTACGATGCGATACTAGTGAGGACTGGTTAACTCAAGTAGAACTAGAGTTAAGATGAGGTAGCAGATCACACAATCAGTCACTGGACCCAGTCCAGTCTAATAAATACCAACTAGAATCCTAGCTTAGCTTAAACTAGCATAAGAAAACCAGAGACGAATCTAACCGTTTCTAGTATGAAAAACCGTTAGATAGATGCATCCGAGCGAGAATCTATAACTAATCTATCTATAACTAAATAGCAGAGCACAACATAATCGTTGCTCGAAGAAGTGCGTTAAAACGCTCAAACGGCCAACTTCCAAGCGCTCCTGTTCTTACTACATCACAGTCTGATATGGCAATGTACCTATCATTCTGCTCCCCTTCATAATCTCTTTCTTTCTGTATAGTTTCTACTCCTTCATTCCCAACTAAACTGCGATTATGCTTAAAATTTTATGATTTTGGATCTGGAATGTGTCATGCAGTTTTCATCCTTTTCCTGCAAAGGTCGTGCAATCTCGAGCACTCCCGCTCAATTCCTCTCAATTCCAGGTAATTTCAAAAACGTTTTTCTCGCGATATCCTGCGCGTTCACATTCCTTCCAACATGTCGTTATGCTCTTCTCGAATATTTCTATCTCATTCTCGATACCTAATGAGCCCAACCTGCTTTTTCCCTGCAAGCAACCATTTCTACTCATTCCACAACGCGTCGAACGACAGTTTGCGGACCTTAGATCTTTCTCTTTTGTGATGTTCCGAATGGCCTCGTCAGTGGCGCTGAGAGCTCGTGCTCGGATGATGGGTATTAACGGGGTCAACGAACTCCCTCGTGGGTATGTTCCCCGCCCTGGGATGAAATTACCGCAAAACCTGAGGCGCATCCAAGGCTCTCCCGTGCTGCCTGGAGTGCATCTGCCGATCCCTGCTGGAGAGGCTGTCGAGAGAGGAGCTCATGCAGTGTGCACGCATGCGCAAAGTAGTGTGGGGACGCTGGTCGAGATAGGAGATGGGCGGATGATGATTCCGAAGGTTCGAGTGGAGTTGAATGAGGATGGAATCTTCACTGTGCGCAAAGATACTTTTGATGACCCAGCCACTGTGCGAGAGGCTCGGGAGGAACTGTTGCGGCAATGCGAGAAATTGGCTGCTCGCGATTCGAAATTCGCGTTGAAATGGGTGCAAGCTTTGGCGAGATGCGAGGCTAAGGATCTCCATTGGATGCCCGATGCCTTAGCGGAGATCTTGACAATTTCTGATGAGGAAAAGGTATCTCTTCTGGAGGAAAGAAGTCTGGTAGCTCGAGCGAGACGGCTTGGTGATATTATTCGTGGAAAGATTGGTGATGGCGAGAAGAATAGAGAGGATATCGATCAGCTGATCGATTTGGGGAGGAAGATCCCTCTTGGGAATACCGGTGATAGGACTCGACGGGTGTTTGAGAAGGAGTTAACGAGGCTAAGTCAGCTTGAGCCGAGCTCGCAGGAGTACGCAGTAACAAGACAGTATCTCGACGTTGTCCTTTCATTGCCGTGGACTTCTACTGAGGGCGTCGCCGATCTCTCTGCAGTGCGCTCGAGTTTGAGTGCCACTCACTATGGTTTAGAAGAGGTTAAGGAGAGAGTGGTAGAGTTGTGGGCGTTGGGCAAGATGTCTCATCCTTCGACTAGACAGGTTAGACCGTTACTCTTAGTGGGTCCACCGGGCTGTGGGAAGACTTCAATTGCTGAGAGTATTGCGAAGGCCCTTGGGAGGAGGTTCGAGATGGTGTCTCTGGGAGGACTGTCGGATGCTGGTGAGCTGAAGGGACACCGTCGGACTTATATTGGAAGTCAACCGGGGAAGATTCTATCAGCGTTGATTGCGAGCGGGAGCAAGAACCCTGTTATTT